ATAGGGCCTAGGAAGTGGAAAAACGCAATTCTGAACCATCCATCTTGCTATAGGGAAGCCAAATTTCCTCAGGAATCGAAGGGAATAGGTTTTAAGGCGCTATCTCTCATAGTTTCCGAGATAATCGCGAAAAACGAAAGTGCCAACAAAAATTAATTTAATTCATCTTGTATAGGGTGTAGGAAGCAGAAAAACGCAACTCTGAGCCGTCCATCTGCCTATACGGAACCCAAATTTCCTCAGGAATCGAAGGGAATAGGTTTTAAGGCGCTATCTCTCATAGTTTCCGAGATAATCGCGAAAAACGAAAGTGCCAACAAAAATTAATTTAATTCATCTTGTATAGGGTGTAGGAAGCAGAAAAACGCAATTCTGAGCCCACCATCTGCCTGTGGGGAACCCAAATTTCCTCAGGAATCGAATGGAATAGGTTTTAAGGCTCTATCTCTCATAGTTTCCGAGATAATCCCGAAAAACGAAAGTGCCAAAAAGAATTAATTTAATTCATCTTATACAGGCTGTAGGAAGTGGAAAAACGCAATTGTGAGCCGTCCATCTACCTATAGGGAACCCAAATTTCCTCAGGAATCGAATGGAATAGGTTTCAAGGCTCTATCTCTGATAGTTTCCGAGATGATCGCGAAAAACGAAAGTGCCAACAAAAATTAATTTAATTCATCTTGTATAGGGGGTAAGAAGCGGAAAAACGCAATTCTGAGCCGTCCATCTGCTTACACGGAACCCAAATTTCCTCAGGAATCGAATGGAATAGGTTTCAAGGCTCTATCTCTGATAGTTTCCGAGATGATCGCGAAAAACGAAAGTGCCAACAAAAATTAATTTAATTCATCTTGTATAGGGGGTAAGAAGCGGAAAAACGCAATTCTGAGCCGTCCATCTGCTTACACGGAACCCAAATTTCCTCAGGAATCGAATGGAATAGGTTTCAAGGCTCTATCTCTGATAGTTTCCGAGATGATCGCGAAAAACGAAAGTGCAAAAAAAAAAAAATTTAATTCATCTTGTATAGGGTGTAGGAAGTGGAAAAACGCAATTCTGAGCCGTCCATCTGCCTATACGGAACCCAAATTTCCTCAGGAATCGAATGGAATAGGTTTTAAGGCTCTATCTCTCATAGTTTCCGAGATAATCGCGAAAAACGAAAGTGCCAAAAAAAATTAATTTAATTCATCTTGTATAGGGTGTAGGAAGCGGAAAAACGCAATTCTGAGCCCACCATCTGCCTGTGGGGAACCCAAATCTCCTCAGGAATCGAAGGGAATAGGTTTTAAGGCGCTATCTCTCATAGTTTCCGAGATAATCGCGAAAAACGAAAGTGCCAAAAAAAATTAATTTAATTCATCTTGTATAGGGTGTAGGAAGCGGAAAAACGCAATTTTGAGCCGTCCATCTTCCTATAGGGGACCCAAATTTGGTTTTAAGGCTCTATCTCCCATAGTTTCCGAGATAATCGCGAAAAACGAAAATGCAAAAAAAAATTAATTTAATTCATCTTCTGTAGGGTGTAGGAAGTGGAAAAACGCAATTCTGGACCGTCCTTCTGCCTATACGGAACCCAAATTTCCTCAGGAATCGAATGGAATAGGTTTTAAGGCTCTATCTCTCATAGTTTCCGAGATAATCGCGAAAAACGAAAGTGCCAACAAAAATTAATTTAATTCATCTTGTACAGGCTGTAGGAAGTGGAAAAACGGAATTCTGAGCCGTCCATCTGCCTATAAGTAACCCAAATTTCCTCAGGAATCGAATGGAATAGGTTTTAAGGCGCTATCTTTCATAGTTTCCGAGATAATCGCGAAAAACGAAAATGCAAAAAAAAATTAATTTAATTCATCTTGTACAGGCTGTAGGAAGTGGAAAAACGGAATTCTGAGCCGTCCATCTACCTATAAGTAACCCAAATTTCCTCAGGAATCGAAGGGAATAGGTTTTAAGGTGCTACCTCTCATAGTTTCCGAGATAATCGCGAAAAACGAAAGTGCCAAAAAAAATTAATTTAATTCATCTTGTATAGGGTGTAGGAAGCGGAAAAACGCAATTTTAAGCCGTCCATCTTCCTTTAGGGGACCCAAATTTCCTCAGCAATCGAATGGAATAGGTTTTAAGGCTCTATCTCTCATAGTTTCCGAGATAATCGCGAAAAACGAAAGTGCCAAAAAAAATTAATTTAATTCATCTTGTATAAGGTGTAGGAAGCGGAAAAACGCAATTCTGAGCCGTCCCTCTTCCTTTAGGGGACCCAAATTTCNTCTTGTATAGGGTGTAGGAAGCGGAAAAACGCAATTCTGAGCCGTCCATCAGATCCGATCAATTAGTAATTTCCTCAGGAATCGAATGGCGTAGGTTTTAAGGCTCTATCTCCCATAGTTTCCGAGATAATCGCGAAAAACGAAATGG